AGTTTGTTTTTGTTTTTGTCTTTGTCTGAGGCTAAAGGAGTATTACTTGCCCAGGATTACCCAGTGTATTTTGATTGCTGGGAAGACATTCGTGCACTGTACAATTTGACAGCATAAGCCATACAATTATTTCTATAAATCTGGCAGAAAGGCAGTGGAAAAGATGATGGTGGTACCAATCTAGGATTTAAGGTAGTTTACACATTTTAACATACAAGAAAATAAAATTAAAAGCAGGTGTTTAGCAACTGATATACTGTACCTGAATTTAGTGTACCTGAGCAAAACAATGTGGATTCAAACTCTATAACAATATAATTATAAATAGTGATAATTATACCTGTTTAATTGAAGTATAGTTTGATCCATCGATTGTTATTTTTCTTATTTCATGGTGGTCAGCCAGAATTAAAAATGGGTCTTCATCTTAATATAGGAAAAGGGGAAAAACATTATGGCATAGTTTCAGTAATTTTATGGAACTTCAAGAACAGAAACGCAAGTGACGAAAAATAAAATGCTACATGGTGTGAACAGTGTTAAGGATCAAAGAAACATTAAAAGCACAATATTTCAAATAAGAGCAATGATGTGTCATAAACTGAGCAAGAGATTCAATTAGTTTCTCTTTCAGAGTACTTTGATTTATCCTTTGTAATGCAAACAATATATTAGCACTCTAAATAATTTCACTTCCAAAATGAATTTTCAACGTAACTACTCAGCCTAGCTTTTAAGGAACAAATAGATGATAAGTATCAGTTGACATTGAAACAGAGGGAAATTCAAATTGTCAGGCATTTGAAATTACTGTATGCCATAATTTTTAGTTAGTGAGATAACTCGTTCTGAAAAAAAGTTGTATATAGTAATATAATTTTGTAACATTTGTGTGTCTGTGGAATATAGCAGGAACTTGAGTTAATTGATGCATTCTTCATTTGTATATTATCCATATTTATGTTGTATTGATGTACGCTCCTCTGATGTGTTGACTACAAGGAACTTATTAACATTAGCAAACCAAATAAAAACATAAAAAATAAGGCCGTAATTCAATGATAAACTTTAGTATATAACATCAGCAGAACTGGGACCTTCTTCTTGGTTTCCCTGCTGTGAAAGTGACCACAGGAATGTTGAAATAAACATAAATTTCAGTGAAAAATAATGGATCCAACAGAAAAAACAACACTGAAGGGGGAGAAGGAGGAAAGAGAAGAAGTGAAAGGCAGGAGGACAAGGGAAGAAGAAAAATGTGAATACAACAGGAAGACATGGGTAAGCAGGGAGAGAGGGGATACTTACCTAAGAACTGGCAGAGAAAGGAGAAAGAGAGAAATAACATGAAAAATTATGGAATAAAAAAGTAAAATGAAAGCATTAGTGGGGATGAACACTTCATGAGGGAAAGGAATTCATTCTATGGTTTCTATTATTTAGATTAAGGTGAAGGAGGTTGGATGAGGACTGGGAAAATTAACACTAAAATAGGACACAAATGGCACAGATGAGTATGAAATTATGTACGTATTGATGTATAAATAATCTCTAACAATAATTTAATTTTCATTAAAATTCAGGCAGCTCAGTATTTTGCTGCACTGATCACTGTTGAAGGGGAAAATGAGGGAAAGAAGTGCTCAGGAGGGCTTTGGTGTATTTCTGATAGCTTGAACCAACAATGGCCAGAAGACTGTGTTTTCTAAACTTCAGAGAAGCACTCTCATCTTTCCTCATCTGGAGGCATCTAGAAGACCTAGAGACCTGGGAATCTGTTTTACTGTATATACTCATGTATGTCTAGAAATTGTATTTTAAAAAAAACCTGGGTTAACTTTTCCATGGATCAATGTAATTACTATAGCTTAATTCTCATCAGAAAAAGAATGATCTGTGAACAGAATAGTGAAAGGTAAGAACTTAATCTGTTCTGGGAAAATCTAAATGAAGCACTGGCACCCTTCTACTATTTCTACCGTGGTGCCGTTTCTGAATTTTCTTGAATGCCTAGGTGGGAAAATGGCAGTGGCAACAGCATACATTTCAAACTATGCATGACTCATAAAGGTCACAAAAGAAAAATATATATTTTCATAATATTATGTCATGGGATTTTTTTCTGAAACAAATTCAGTTTTAAGACAGCTTCCTTGGCACTACAAAGGCTAATATAGTGTATTTCAAACATAATTTTAAAAAAACCACATTTACACCTTAATCCTACAAAATTAAGGAAGACAACTTCACAGTGAAGCCAAATGGCATTCCCTAGATTTCAATGACAGTAGAATATAAAGAAGTGGTTTCAGTCTTTAATATTTCTGTAGATAATGATACCTGAGAGAGATTTGCAGCTATGTTGGTTAGTAAGTTGCATTTCATAACCGTCTGCACATAGGCATTTGTAGGTTCCATATGTATTGATGCACTGTTGGCTGCATGGAAAGCCAGATGCACATTCATCAATGTCTACACATGTTCTGCCATCATCCTTCAAATGGAAGCCAGGCCAACATTTACACTACAAGGAAAATAAAACAACCTTTGCATCAAACACACTGAGATTGTTTTCCTATACTCACTAATCTGGGAGTAAGTCATACTGAACTTAGTGGGAGCCACTTTTGAATAGAATTGTATAAAATTATACTATATAGTATTGTAAAGTAAATTTCCTAAGCAGGCATGACATCAGTTAGTTAAAAATGTGGTTCATAACCTCATTGATCTCAGCATCCAAAACTCATATCAAAGGGAAATTCTTTCAGGAGCTTTATCACCTACATTGGCAACATTTCACAATATTAGAAATGAGAAAATCCATAAAATCTCTACAATAGCTCATAGCAGATGTTTGTTTGAAGATATGCTTATGGAGATAGGAGTGGAAGCAAAGCTTCTGCTACTACTATGTTTCTTCATGTGCTTCTCTTTTTCAAAGTAAGCCAAGGGCGCTTCTACACAGGCCCAAATGCGAATGCAACCAGCAATTTAAATGCTGATTTCACTTGAATTTGGTGTCCAGAGGGCTGGCGAAACCCCCACCCTTTCGGCAGGTTGGTAGCCAATATCTTCCTAAGTCGATCCGTGATTGGTGTGGGATGTATGCCATGTCCCCCACACCACCCTCCCCTATCCTGCAACCCCTTGTTTTGCCCTAAAATTTACCTGAAAAGTCTCCAAAAAGAGGCATGAATTATATAGAGAACTCCTGGCACATCAAAATGACACCAGGAGTTTGGGAGGGGACCATCCCTCCTCTCTTCAACAAAGCTCCTGGGGCATCAAAAAGATGTGCCAGGAGCTTTCAAGCTAACAGGATTAGCTTTAAGCATCATTTGGACACTTCAGGCTAATCTGTTTTAAATTCTGAGTTTCCTGTGTAGATGGCACCCAGGAAGCCAAAATTCCCATAGAAAAATGATTGATAGGGAAGGGACTTAAATTCAACTCTTCTATTGTAAATGATTAGTGGAGACAAGCACTTATACAAGTTCCATTAATTCAGTACTTCTAGTATTTCTGGAGCTAAACAATTAGATTTAGGTCAACAACTTAATCCTTCTTTTGTCTGATATTTTTCTTCTCCAACTTTTCTTTGGTTAGATGATTTACTGCATGAAAACTAACATAGAACAACATTTCCCTTGCAGAACTAATACAAGTCTAAAATGTAGTCCCACTATGTGAAAAGAAACAAGCTAGCAAGCCCGGGAAATGATTGCTTCTATTAATTTGCAATATGTTCCAAGTGAAGTTTTCCAAAAGGAGAAATAGTTGTAATTCATTAATTGTGCTAAAGGTGCCATAATTGCAAGTTATTCTAGCACATGATTGAAAAAGCTCAAAAAAGAATGCATTTTGAAATTTTCTTTCATCAGCCATTATTAAATGTTTAATTTCTAGACCTTGTTCATATTGTTGCACATTTTCAACAATACTGAGTTTGTGTAGTTCCCATTTTTGTTACATACAAACATTGAACCACAATGCAAAATAAAATACCTAAATATTAGGGTTGCCATATTATCCAGTTGTCACATTCCCCTGGATTCTAAGGATATTAATCTTATGTCTGCCTGGATCCTTATCAACCTGACATTTCATTACAAATGTTTAGCCAAGGGACAGGAAAAGTGCAGCTCTCATGCTACATAAGCCTCACAAACTGCAAAACAGAGTGTTGATCTGTATTGATCTTAAGGAATTTAAGCTTGCTAATGTTTTCCATGACTCAACCAATAAGTGAACTTAAAGCATCTTCATAGAAATGTAAATTATAGAGTGATTTTCTTCGAATTCCTTGAGCAAATGTTGCAGTTTTGTGAGAAAGCCTGCTGGAATAGAGATGGTTGAGTTCTGTTATTATAGAGCTGGCTAAAAACAGTTACTAGAAATGAATGGAGCCAAGTTATTGTAATAAATAAATGAAGGCAAAATACTACAGAATAAAAAAACTGAGGTAAAGGAATACAATTCCATAATTAAATTATTAGCATTTAAATTGTCATAGATTCTGTTGATTTTTCTGCAACAGATTTTCAGTGAGGTAGTTGTATTAGTCTGCTGTATCAAAAAGAGAAATAGACCTGAAAACTCAAAAGACTGCAAAAAAGGTTTTTGGGGGGCACAGACTTTTTCTGGGTAGTGATATCTAGAAACTCTCCTACTGCTTGCGGTAGGAGAATTACTACTGCTGTCCTCACTCTCGAGCCATCTGCATTTCACCACTCTCTGATTTACAGTTCTTGTTAAGAATGTTACCCAGTTGAAGGATGAAGAACGCATGAGATGGAGATCTGGGAATCATGGAAAGAAAAAATAATAATGCTGAGGGTAGCAGGCTGATGTGACTTCAAGGAACATTAGCAGCCACTGCCACACAGTGAGAAATGCAGAGGGCAGAAGATGGATGGATAGCGGTTAATAGGACAGAGAACAGAGCAGCAAGGAAAAGGGGAACCCACAGTACTGTGAGAGTTAGCTAGAGCAACCAGGAGATGGGGGACTAATGGATAAACAGAGCAGCAAAGTGATGCAGGGTAGGCAAAGAAAGGAGTGGGTCAAACCCCACTCAGTGGGACAAGTAGTGCTGTTTCACAGTCCTGGACACTCCGGGCAGGCAATATTAAGCATATATCTAAGATGTATAGGCAGACATCTCTGTAAACACAGATTAATGTTAAATCACATGCAGTTTTCTTTTTCTAGTAATTCAAAATAATTACTCTTTATGCTTTATTGCCCTCTGCAGCCTGTTGCCAACTATTAGAAATGAGATTTACCATTTGAACTACAACATGTCTACATTAATTTATAGCGCCTGAACAAGTCAATGGGGCTATGGTATTAGTATTATGTAATGTTCCTGCTCACCCAAATTATCATGACAATAGCTATGTTTATTTTTAAAAGCTGTATATGATTTTGTTCTATGTTTTATTTATCTATATATTGTATAATACACACCAGGACTACCAACCTTGTACCCAACTGGAAGATCCTGACAATCTTGAGAACAGCCACTGACTTTTTTGCTCAAACATTCATTAATGCGGCAATTTCTCTCATCAGATCCATCACCACAATCCTGTTTAGTATCACAAACATCTCCTTGTGGGATACACTTGCCATTTTTGCACATAAAAAAGGAACTGTTGCATGACTGTTCTAAAAATAAGAAACAAGGGTGGAGAAAACACAAATAGAATGCAAGGAATATGTTAAGGATTATCACGTATTAAAATTCAATCACAGCAGACCAGTTCAGATGCTATTTTACTAACTTCTGCCTCACAAGCAAGAACTATGTGGTTGGCACCCATATGGGTTCCATGATGACACTCTTGGTTGCCCTCCAACATCAAGTCTGAATGACAGGCAGGTTATCTATATTTACATTTCATGCCTTGCACAGCTGTGTTGTGACACATTTTTTTCAACTGTGTAGTGTCTTTTCTACCTGTGTAGTGTTTTTTCTACCTGTGTCAGTTTCACACTGCTAAATCAATAACAATGATTCATACATAGACCTCACTGGTATAGCCAATACCATGCCAGTATATTCTGAAGCCATAAATCCATGGCTGGTGCTATTTCTTTAATTTGATATATTATTCGCTCATTCAAAAGGCTCAGGTTATGTCAGTATGCTAATTATATTTGTCAGGCTAGGTCATCAAAGGTAAGTTCAATTACAATCAGGGCTTACTCTTCAAGTCATTATTTCAAAATGGATTTTATCATTGTATATGTAGAGTATTCTAAAACAATCCAACTGAAATCTATACTGCAGCAAAAACCTCAGTAGGAATCAATAGTATTAATCAACGTGTATAATTTCAGCTGCAGTCTAACAAGTAGAATTTAACTGGTTACAGCTATTGGTTATATTCTTTTCTGACTCTTCCCTGTCCAAGAATGCCAAATGTTTCACTTCAGTCTCTCTTACATACAGCATCATCCGGCAGCTGTTGTACCCAAAGATCTTTAGATCAGGACCAGTAAGTTTGAAACTGATGGATTGAAAGGCATAGTTAATCTTCCAAAAAGGAAGCATGTAAGTAATACATATACATGAAGAACATTTTGGATAAGAGAGATAATATCTGGTGCGGAAAACATGTGGTTCTACTACTCCCATTATCCCTTATTATTGGACTTTTGGGAAGATCTCTTGCAAGTTGGAGTCCAACAGTTGGAGGGTCTCTGTCCTGTATCCCTGGCTATTTCTTTTTCTGTATGCTTCTGTGAATAATATATTATTCTTGAAATATAACTGTTGTATAATGAGTTATGAAGCAAATACAAAATTCCCATATATTTAAAAAGCTGAACCTGCACTTCTGCATTTTATGTTAAGTGGCTCTTCATCAGAATGATCTGGACAATCAAAATCTCCATCACATTGCCACTGAGAATTTAAGAGACATCTTCCATCAGCACAGCTGAATTCTCCAGGATTACAGTGACGATAACCTAAAAGAAGAATGAACATTCATACTGAGCATCTCTGAACTTTGGCACATTTTTGCCACTTAAACACTTCTACCCCTTTTCCTTTGCAAAAGTTCTGCATGCCTTCATAGTAAATGAGGTGAGGATTTGAATTCAATGGACAAAGTGTCTTCCTGCTTTGAAAATAACTATACCACCAAATTTCATAAAGACCATTTTGTTTATTTATTTATTTATTTACATCACTTATATCCCGCCCATATCAGCCCGCAGGCGACTCAGGGCGGTCTACATATCGGCACAATTCGATGCCATCAATACAATACAAAAGCAAAAACAATTAAGTGCATTTAGACAAAAAAGTACAATAACAATTTAAAAAGAGCTATATCCTCTCATTCCAATCCTCGTCCATTTCATCGTCTTGGCCGTTCCTGGGTCATTCTCCATCTCAAGCTTGACTTATCTATTCTGGGGTTCCGAATGCCTGCGCGAAGAGCCAGGTTTTCACTCTCTTACGAAAGGTCAGGAGGGAGGGGGCTGATCTAATATCCCTAGGCAGGGAGTTCCACAGCCGAGGGGCCACCACAGAGAAGGCCCTGTCTCTCGTCCCCGCCAAGCGTGCTAGCAAAGCAGACGGGATCGAGAGCAGGGCCTCCTCAGATGATCTTCCTGGAGGGTTCGTAGGAAGGGGTGCGTTCGGATAGGTAGGCTGGGCCAGAACCGTTTAGGGCTTTATAGGCTAAAGCCAGCACTTTGAATTGGCCCCGGTAGCAAACTGGCAGCCAGTGGAGCTGGCGCAGTAGAGGAGTTGTGTGCTCCCTGAGCGCCGCTCCTGTTA